GATACATTGTCCTTTCATTTATACCTCACATGTGGATGTAGTAGTAAAATGAGCAAATATTTAACAGAAAAATGCTTGGATTCATTCTAAAGTGTGTTGTTTGAAGAGTATAAATTTCTAATAAATACATGCTTAAAAGCTAAAACTTTGCAGATTAATAATTTGATATATGTTTTTAAAGTTGTATAAATTTTATCTTTCTCTATAAATTATAAGTAAATTAAATTTTATTTTAAATTGGTATCCACTCAGGAGGTATTCTTTTTTAATGCTGTTTTTAACCTAATCTAGGGCCCAAGAAACACTCAAGGTAGATGGTTGCAGAATGAAGTTGTTTTATGGACTTAAGAATTGTAGATTTCAAGGATGTATAGAATAGACAATGAAGAAGAGATTAAGATTTTAGTGTTCAGGGAAGCAGTGGCTCTTAGGAAGAAGCTGTTTAAATGGAAATTCATTCTTATCAATGGCATACAAAGGAAATGCAGATAGTTTGCCTCTGTGTACATGGCATGGTGGGTCTTAGATCTAAAGATCTGAACTAGTTGAACTAAGGAATGTAGCTAATCACACCATTTTCCATAGAAATAGTGACAGAGTAATGATAGTAATGAGGGGAAATGGCTTGTAGGGTGGGAAATAATTCAACACCTATAAGGCCATGTAAATGCTTATGAACTCTGTCAAGTTTGGAAAGAAAGGATTGGGGAGCAATACTCTATTTTTGTCCTGATTTGACTTCTGCAAAGAACATTCCAGGTGAAGTCAGGTACTTTCAGGAATTATATAAGAAGTTGACATTTTTTTCAGCATCTTTAGCAATGGATCATATATATGAATTCCACTTGAGGTCTGGGGTGAACTTTAGTCCCAACAGACACTCAAATATTGTATCTTATTAATAATTTCAGTAAAATGAATGATTTTATTTTGATGGATGATTTTATTTTTAAACTGATTAATTAATAGAATATATTCTAATATTGTGTCTACTCTAATTTGAATCTAATTTCTTTGTTTTACAAAATTTTAATTTATATGAATTTTTAAAGTTTTTCTTCATAAACACTACAAAGCAAACATTAATATTATTACATCTTGATTAGAAGAATTTTATCACCAAATAACAAACAACTGTTTTTTCTAAAACCAAACTGGCAATGCTGTAACTGCAAGCAGCTGCTGCTGCTATGAATTCTTCAGATATTTATATGACGCCACACACATTTCAGCATGGACTGCAGTACTTGACTTGTATCAAATGATCCAAGTTTTTTCCTAAATTTTGACAATATATATTTTTTAAATATTTAGATGAAGTATTTTCATTATTATTATTGTTGTCTTAATAATTTTTTATTTTCTTTTTACTACATCTTATTATTGTTGCTATTTATCACATTAACAGTCTCAAATGAAGCATTATTTATTATTACTATTATTATTGTTGCTTTTTATCACATTTACATTTTTCATTATTACTATTATTTCCATTTTCTTATTGATTTTTATCACAACACTCTCAGTCAATTCACTCTTTGGCTATCAAAAAGATGTCCTAAGTTAGAAATAAAAAGTTGTTTCTGGCAAGAATTGAACTTGTTGGAGCTGTGATATTAAAAAAAAAAACAAAAGAAGTTGACATTGGGATAGTTTGTAACACACTGGAAATTAAAAACCAACAAAAGCCCATCAGAGAAATCTTTTCTAACTCAAAATACAATATTTAATGTCAGCTTAAAATTTAAACAAAAAGTAAAGTTATTTCTTAACCAGTAAAAAGTTTTAAAAAGAAATTAAATAAATGCATCTATCTGAGCCATTTTTATGGTAGCTGACCTTATAAGAAGGATAAGTAGCAGCATAACTAAATCAGAATTAGCCAGATTGTCCAGCTGACACACCATTTTATCTGACCCTAGGCACTTCTCTTAACATTTTGACAATGTGAAGCCTGACATCAAAGGAAATCATTTTAAATCATACTGAGAAAGAACTTTGTAAATTCAACTTTTATTGTACCCTTCCTTTTATTACTTCCAAGTGAACTCAATCTTCTTTGAAATGTTTCTGACTTCAGTGATTTTAAGCTTACAATTCAAATTAATACAAAAATATATTTCTTCTTTACATAAAAATGAAAGGAACATTGAAACTTAAATGCCTTTCTTTTCATTCGACAAATCCAAAAAGCATAATGCATGTAGATAAATAAGTTTATTATCTGTTGTATGTCAATGTAGATATTGTCTATTTGTTCTACCCACCTACAAATATCCAAAAGTCTCAAGTCAACAAAGCATGTTTTCTCAAACTTAATGAACATATGCTAAGCATGCAAAAGCTAAGCGCCTTTTCTTTCTACTTAAAAAATTAATTTCAATAAAAACTTAGTGCTGTCCTGTTAAAATCTGACATATCACATATCACCAGAAGTAGGACATGAAATCAAAGCTACTATTTTATTTCTGCTTTCTATTTACGCTAGCAATTATGGCATATATTAATCTAGAGTGTTGTGGTGAACAGCAATAATAAGATGGAATAAAAATCATGATAAATTTATCTACCTACCAATCTATCTGTTTGATGCCGTTTGGATGGAACAAATATATTGAGTCAATTGCTTTGTCCACTGCGAGGAAAATTGGCTCTCTGTGCCGCGCCAGGAAATTTTTCTCCCCGGAATCGATACTTCAAATATACAAATCAACCATTTGCCCTTGCATGGAGTATTGCTGCCATATATGGTCTGGGGCACCTTCTGTTTACCTCGGAGTTCTTGACAAGATCCAGAGACGGATATGTAATATAATTGGCCCTGATCTGGCATCTTGTCTACAGTCACTCTCTCACAGATGCGTCGTCGCCTCTCTCTGTCTTTTCTACAAATACTTTCATGGTAATTGCTTCAATGAGCTGATTTCACTGGTTCCCAGACTCCATGAATTCAAGCGTTCTACAAGGCTGGCATCCCGCTCCCACCCTTACACTGTAGAAACTTTTAAATTTAGCCATCTCTTCTACTCCAATAGCTTCATACCTCACACCTCTTGCCTGTGGAACACCCTTCCCAATTACTGTTTCCCTGAGAGCTATAATTATTCAAATGTAATGTCAATCGACATCTCCAGTTACCTTGATCTATCCACTATCCTTCTCCTCATCCTTTCTTCTATCACTCCTATCTGCTCTTGCTCCTAATCTTCTGCAACCCCCTGCATCCTAGTGGCTTCACGCCTTGCTCGGGGCGTAATGCTTAAAAAAAAAATGTCACATAAGGCCTCCACAGAATGGTTCCAATCATCCCTGTCTACTTCTGTTCCCAAGAATTTTGAATAAATGATTCTCAACCTGTAATGAAATATAATAGCTCAAGAAGAAACCAACTTAAAGTAGAATTTAGTCAGATTTAAATAGAAAAATGAAATTTACATGTCATTTAAAACTTATATCAAATTATCATGTTGCAAAGTTTCATCTTGCTAATGTCTATGATAATAAAATTATTTAAATTTTCATATCTTTAAACTAATACACTTAGAAATTAAAATTATTTTTGCATACCAAATCTTGTGTTTGTAAGTCCATGTAAAATATATATAAAAGATACATGTCAAAAAAAAGAGAAGCAAAAGAGATTAATTTCCAACCTTTTAAGACATTCATAATGAGTGAGCTATGGAAGAAAGAAATTTTCTCCCAGTTTTCATTTCCCCCATTATGGGAATTATTATCTCCATACTATAATAACACTTTATTTCACAGATGTAGCAGACTAACTGAAAGAAAAGGAATGACAAACATGCTTTATTCTCAGAAAATATACCATTAAGTCATACACAAAATTATATATACATATTTACATTTGTCTCACACAGAGAAACTATAACATGTATGCAACAACAAGCACAGTGAAAGGGAGCAACAAAAGTGTCTTATTTGTAATAATTTCCAATGGGAATTGGAGTTTCCTGAGATACTTCTGTGTTTCTGGAGAAGCCATATTTAGGATTCCAAGTTTGAGTGATCTGAATTTATCTGCTAGCAAGGACACATTCCTCTCAAAATAGGAAATGGCAAGTGATGTTTTTTCTAAAATTTAGGACTGCAAGCTGGAGTTTTTTATATCTGGTGAAGATATATCTCCATACAAAAAAGGTGCCATGGGCTTGTAAGTTGTACTATGTGGCAGCTGGCTTGGCAAATTTAACCTCAGCTAAAAAAAAGAGTAATTGTTTGGTTTAACTTCTGGAAGTTCACTGACAGACTAGCCACTTTCATCATTCTATGAAGTGATGTCATTAAGTGGCTGTCACATGACCCATGTGACTTCATCTCGCTGAAATAGAGATAATCACTTTTTGTATTCCTACATGCATATTTTTACAAATCAACTACCAAGATATTTAGTTATTCCCCAAAAGATAAATAACTTTTATTTCCTGTTCAATCACATTTTATTCTTTCCCCTTCACAAAAATTGCTTTTTCTTTAAAAAAAAAAAAAAATCTGCACACACACACTCATTTCCAGCACACAAGAACTTTGTTATCAAGGACAAAATTTAAAGCTTCCACATAAAATAAGTTTTGTCATATTTTACAAAATCTTGTTGTTCATTCTTCCCTTTTTACTAAATTTATGGACTTTTAGATATGATCACTTAAAAATTAAAACCTCCACAGTACCATTATTTTGGTAAAAAAAAAAAAATTGATTAATTGATTTGTTATTTTTAATGGCTTATCAACATTTTGCAGGTTATTTAAAGCAAAAAATACTTTTACATTCTAAGAATTTTTTGAACATAATAATGATTTACTGATACAAGTCCGACTAATTAACCCATATATGAGGAGGGAAAAGATGTGGATTCATACCTTTTTCCTAGGGTATTTGTGCATTAATGAATATAACAAACCTGACTTGAATTGCAACTCTTCTCTCTGATTTCCAATTCTGTGCCATTGTACATTACACCACCCACATATAACAGTTTACAGCACCTAATATTCCCAAGCAGTCATTCATCTAAGTACTGACCAGGCTCAATATTGCTTAACTTCAGTGACTGTATGAGAACCAGTGTTTCAATGTGATATGGCCATAAGCCCCCCGCCCTAAGGAAGAATATTCTCAAAAAACCTGTTTGAGTTGTTGAGTTATAAGTTTAAAAGATAACTTCAGTGTAGACAATTCAATGTAATTAATGTCTTCAGACTATGAAAACCAGGAAGTCAAATGATGAAAATAATTTTGTCATTAATATAGAATTAAAAGGTTGTTTAGAGCATTTTGAAAACACTTTAGCACTTATCTTTCCTCAAAAAATAGCACACATCTGTCTTGATTCATCAATTTTAGTGACAACAGTCACTGGTGACTTTTCCCGTACCATCTCAATTACACACACACACACACAGCAGTGTTTCAAATATTAACTTTTCAAAGTGATCATTCATTCATTCAACTATTCACATACTTTAGAAACATTCACCAAGAAACCAAAATCTCACTTGAGCCATTTATTAAACAAGTTCAAATAATAATCCTTCCTTAACAAATTCAAATTTTATATTTCATTAGTTGCAAAAACCCAGCAATGACCAGGTACTGAATGAAACATTACCTGAGAAAGACAGCATGTAATAAAACAAAAATAATCCTAACATTATAAATTTTTATCATTTATAAAGAGTGTTAACTGTATCATACAATTAATTCTTAAATGAGGAAGGGTGCATCATCATCGATTGATGATTCATTTAGTTATAATGATTGCTCAAAGTATAGTATAGAACAATACTTTGTCTTTTACTACATTTTCTGACCATTAATGCTTAAAGGGTAAGCATTATCAATTGATGATTCATTAGAGATTGGCTGATTTTGTCAATTGATGATTGAAACTTTTTCCTAATGATACAATCATCACTCATTCAGGATTCACATCTAAATGACTTACTGGCAACTCCATGATTCATGAGGTTATATCATTTCCTAGAGTATTTGTCTACAAATAAAGCTGGAAAAACATGCCAGAGTCAGTGCTATGTCTGCATGCAAACTTCTCAAAGAGAACAGCAGTGAAAAATGGTGACAACTTAGGCTAAAGAATGTACAATTCTATTGTGCACAGAATGTTTCAAAGAGTATCATACTGTTAAAAAATATTAAACTTGGGAACCTAACATTTGTTTTCTTTATTTTGATAATTTAAAAGATTTTTATAGCTTTTGTATATAAAACAAAAATAAGGATAAAAATATGCTTTAAAATATGTATTTTTTGTTTCTTTTTTACCTGTTTGGCATGCATGTTCATGCAAATTTTTCCTGCCAATTAGGGGTTAAAACATCAAACATATTTCAAATCAACATCTCAGAATTTTCAACTAATTTGAGTTAAATGTGCTATCACAATTATGATCACAAGTTCTGTAATCCATTAGTGTTGTAGAGGAACATTATGTATTGCAGTCAGAGCAGCAGTAGGTGTGTCTAGAGTAAGATAGCCTGATAAGACCCATCTCTCTTCAGGCTAACCCACTATACAGAAATTAAAAAAAATAATAATAGGAACCTTAACTTACTATCAAGCATAGACATTACTTTAGGAGTAAGGAAATTGAAATAATTTTCTGAAAACATTTGAGTTAGTAAAAACCAAACAATATTTGGTAAAAGTACATATTTGATTCTACAATTAGATTCTACATTAAAAAATGATCTCTGTAAGCCTATTTCAGAGGATTCATTTAAATTGCGATAGGCTCAAATGAATGGTATAAAAACTTTCCTCAAATAATGCTAATTCAGAATATATATATTTTCTGTTATAGTTTTGGAGAAAATCTTGGACACACATCGACAACTTACATTTAGAGTAGACATATAAAACTACAGAACTTCTAACTGACATGCAAAACATTTGAGCCACCTTGGTAAATTAATTACTTTTGTTTATTTTATCTCAACTTCAAGAGTAATTAGAAGTAGGCTTTTCTTAATACATTTTATGATATTTTAAGGATAGAAAATTAGTTACTGTATTAATGCTGTATGATGGATGATAGAGCATCTTAAGTATAGGGATGCTAAAAAAAAGGCAATGCAAAAATACTGTACCACCAGTGAAAATTTCAACTTTCAACTATTTTCTTAACTTAAAAAGGAATTTTTTCATTTGCAAAAAGTGATCTTTATTATTAGAGAAAGTATAAAACATCCATGTATGGATTTAGCAATTAATATTATTGCCTTTTGGTTTGAATAATCACCTCAATTCAATGTGGCATTGAATAGAATGAGTTCATTGGGAATTCTTCTTGGCAGTAATTCCAAAGTTTCAATTCAATGTGACATTGAATAGAACAAGGTCATTGAGATTTTTTTACATTCTTCTTAGCAGTAATCTCAAAGCTCTTGTAGATTACATGGTTTTCACTGGAGCACTTGTTTCTTAAGTCCCCACCACAATGGTTCAATTATTCAGGACTTTGTGCTAGCAGAGCCTTCCAACATTTGAATTTCTTCATCCACAAGAAATCTTTTTGTTGCATGTGATGTGTGGCAATGAGCACTAGCATGTTGAAAAATTTCTCCATCTTTTTAGTTTGGCAGAAGATTAGATCATAGTAAATTAATATAGTTTTTACTGTCTAGATTTTCATCAACTTTTACCAATTTTCTTCCATCTCTTTTGATGTAACTCCACACAATTACATGTCCACCACCAAATTCTACCATCTTTGTGGTGTGTCTTGCATTGATTTTCTTCCACTGATTTTCTTACTTATTCTCTTGCATTAGAATGTAACTATTTTGCATTCATCACTAAAAATTACTTTTTGCTACTTTCCAGCATCCAATGTTAGATGTTCTTTTGACCACTTCATTTTTTTATTCTGATGTTGTTTGGTTATTAATGTCTTTTTTTTCACTGCTCTATGCCCATAATTTTTTCATAATACTTTATCAACTTTATCAACTTTATCAACTGAAAACTCACTGTTAAGGCTGCATTCTTTCCTCACTTATCTGGCTGTTAATTTTGGATTGCCTACCAACACTCACACATTGTTTCTTTCAACTCTCTTTTCTTACCCTTGTGGTCTTCGCATTTTCTTTGCACTTAAAACCCTTCCAATTGTAGTAAACATCTTTTGGATGGGTTGATCACTGTTACTAGAAACGTATCTATCTCTCATCAAGTCATCTTCCCCTTCAAAGTCACAACCTTCATTTTTGTTTCAGCAGAGATTTTAACCATGATTTTAGTGTAAAAAAGCAAGCTAATGTTCAACTACAATGACTTTCCAAGGCACCATCCACTCATGTTAATAAGATGGAACAATTCTATTTTAGAAATTTGCATATTATTATGTCTTTATCATCTCAGATCTTTCATTGGCTCAATAGTTTCGCATGGCCTTTTTTCAACTTTAACCTGCTTAAAGCATTTTTTTCTTGTTACATAGTACCTACTGAAATGCAACAATTTACTTTCATATCCTCAAGGTTCCCAAACACTACTGATAAAATCTTACTGCCAAATAATCTTAACTTCTTAATAAAATAAAGGGTTGTATAATCATTTTATGTCATTGGCCCCCAACTTCTGAATGCTAGTGTATTTGAACTTTGATTTTTTTTTGTTGAGCCAGGACTGGGATTAATCTCACACATAGCAAGATGGGTCCTGTCTGACAGAAGATTTGTCATAATGATTTGAAGCAAGGTTTTACACAGCCAGATGCTCTTCCTCCTGGCCAAGTCAGACACTTACAGCAGTCCAAGTACACTAAATGTTTTTATATAGACACCATCTCTAAGGTGACCATCAAGGCTTGAGACTCCATACTAGCCTTTTATATATATATATATATATATATATATATAACTGCCATAAATAGACAAAAATTATTTTTATTACCAATCATGATGATAATAAATAAAAAGTAAAACTGAAAAATGGGGTAGCTAACCAGTTTCAAACCTCGCTCAACAGAGCTAAATTGAGGTTAATAAACTGAATTATCACTAAAAAATGGACAATATGTATTGGAGAAAAGAAAATAAAGAAGGGGGAAAAAAAAAGGATTGTTTAGATGAAAATTAGTTGGAGGCCTAATACGAAGTCCTTCTGTTTGCCCACTGACATTTCGAATTTAATTAGACCCTCAGGCTCCATTCGTCCCCGTCTCTATGGCTTACCCAAAACTCATAAAGTTGGGACACCATTGAGATCTATTCTATCTATGATAGGGTCTTCTCAACATGGTGTGGCTAAATGGCTTTCTACTATACTATAACCTGTTTTGGAGCAATATAACTCTGCTTGTATTAATGATTCGTTTGAATTCTCTCATTTTATGCAGCGTTATTTGTTTAACAGATAAATTTATGTGTTCCTACGATATTTCCAGTTTATTTACCTGCTTTCCACTTGCTGAAACTATTGATATATGTGCTGATGCCCTGTATCATAGTCAGTTGTCTCCACCTGTTATTCCGGAGAACGTTTTTGTCAAACTGATGAAATTTGCCACAATGTCAGTTGAGTTTAGCTTTGATGGTGTCATGTACAGGCAGATTGATGGTGTTTCGATGAGTTCCCACTTGGGCCCCATTTTAGCAAATATCTTTGTTGGGTTCCAGGAAGAGAGTATGTTATTGAAACCTAATAAACCTGACGTTTATTTCCTTTTGTCTCTTCGATAACGAGATTGAAGCAGAACAATTTCTTGTGTCCCTTGATAATATGTATCCAGCTTTAAAATTTACACTGGAAATAAAAGTTTATTTGTCTCTTCCCTTTCTTGATGTTTTGGTTAACAGATCTTCATTGGATTTTGTTACTTCTGTTTACTGTAAACCAACGTTTACTGGTTTGTATACCCATTGGGATTCTTTTTGTCCTATGAAACGTAAAATTAATATAATTAAAGCCCTTACCGATAGGGCTCTTATGATCTGTTCTGAAATTAAGTTGGATGATGAACTTAGGTTTATTACTAATACTCTCTGTAACAATACCTATCCATTAGGCATTGTTCAAGAAATTATTAAGAATAAAATTGCTGAATTCAATAAAGTTAAACCTGCTAT